AACACCATGAGGAATAATTTCAGAATTAAATGACCAAAATAAGGTTAAAAAATAAAAAGTTCAAAAGGAATTAACAGATTGTTAAAACAATAGCTGTCCATTACATACAAAAATGACACAGGTGAAAATGACTATACTCCAGACTATTTTGAGGAGAAAGCAAGCTCTGGAAGTGAAAGAAAAATACCTTAATCATACTTTTCATTTTACATCCCCAAATCATCAACTATGAGTATTACCTCACCTCATGTTTAAAAAGCTGTACCGGTCATACACTAGCCTGTAAGAAAATCTTGAATAACTAGTTCTAGAGAACACAGAATACTATTTAAAGTTGCTTGCACTGATCAGCAGCTGGCCTATATCACTGTAGTTCTGCTTAAATCAACACATCCTAGGTATCTGACTCAGAATTTCCAGAGGGAATATCAGCCTGGCATTGTCTCCTGGTTTATAGGAAAGGTCTATAATTGGGCAGACTCCCAATTTAGATATTTTAAAGTTTCTGAGATATTGGCTCAAGCTAAAAGTACAACTGTTACTATCTATAACAGACACTTGGCAAACTTACCTCAACAAAAATAACAGATTTAATATTTCATACGAAATGATGATTTGCAGTAGTACAAGGCGGAGTAACCCTCATACTATTCAGTCCCACAGTAGGAGAGAATAGTTTGTTCCAAACTAACATTCGAGTTGCATTACAGGTAAATTATGTGCAATAACTGTAAACACATCTTTATTTTAGACCATACATTTCACAATATTTAGTGTTCTACCCACATTTATCTTCCACACTAGCTGTGATCTCATTAGTTTATGTGTTTCAGTTAAACAAAGTGAAAAAATAGAAATGTCATTAATAATATATCCCCATTACCCATAGTCATCTAAGTGGACTGCTTGGTTTTTTTCCCCATGTCTATTATAATCAGCAGATAAATAGAATCAGCTTCACAAAACATTGAAAACCTTACTCTAGGTACTAACTCTGCATTGGAATGTCCAGTGAGATAACAGAATTAGAAAGAAGTGCCCTTGGAGGGTTAAAGCCATGGGATTTTTGGTTGCATTAGCCAGCTGCATCACCAACTATGAAGTTCTGTTTTGGCAACGTAACATAGCATTACCCTAATTATAAATAAATTGTTTCAGAAAAAGAGAACCCTTCCAACCCCCTTCCCAGTGTCCTTTAGTGCATTCACTGAATTTCAACCAAAGAGCTTTCTTGGTAACAATATCGTAATTATGTTTTTGCATTTGGCAAAGTTCTGTCACTCCTGAAAGTGAATTTCTGCTCTTTCAAGTGCCCATAAAATGAGATCAGAGGCATATTGCACACCTACGCTCCCCAGTGGGGTAGGATGCAAAATCACCTGCATGTCAGTTTGGCACATGGCAGTACCATGTAGGGGGTCCACTTTGGTCTGGAAAACATCAGAGATATCTTGAAGCAGAACTGACTGCTCTGCTAATGCAAACACTGTTTCTGGCTCTATAGCCAGCTTAGTGAGGATCTCAGCATCGCGTGGTATCAGTATGGATGGGTCCAGACACACCTGAAACTCCTGGAAACACAACCTATGTCTGTTGATTAGCACACTGGTCCTGGGAAGGGCGGAAGGAGTTCAGGCTGTGAGTCACAGACGTGTGGGATTGGCAAGTGAGCTCCAAAACACTGAGAGCTCTGCAGTCAAAAGCTACCGAAGCACTGCCAGTCCCCCTGGAGCAGACAAATGAAGCTGGAAATCTCTGTTTTCCTGAAAAATTGTAAGATCTTCCAAGGGGCTTTTAATTTGACAAATGAAGTACTTCAATAAACCAATTTCCAAAACTTAGAAGACAAGAAGTACAACACAAAAACAGAATAGAAAGTTTTAGTTTGGAAATTCTTGTTTTTGACATACATTTCTGTTCTTTGCCTGTTAAATACATAGAATGTAATCACTGATAAATATGTGTTCAAAAGAAAAATGAGAGGCAAGTAAATTCAAAACAACCATAAAATTCAAAGTGTAAAGGTCTTAAAATGGCAAGCCAAAACCAGAACTTAAAGAACAAGTATTCAAGTTTAATAAAACATAATAAATGTACATAATAAAACATCTATTTTACCACATTTTCTACTATTTCTGATGTTTATGATAGCAATAAATATCAGTTGTATCCTAATTATTAATGTGCCTCGGAGCTAAAATTTTCACAACAGCATGGGTGAGATTTAGATGTGATTGTATTTATTTATTTATTTATTTATTTATTGTAATAGCAATGACTTTGGTCTGTCTTCTTGTGCACAGCCTGGAAATTTTACTTTCAAGCATTTATTGTGAATCATCCATCATTTCCTTTCATTTTTCTCCTATTTATGTTTGGTCTTTTTAGGAGCACACGATACTTCTACTAGCATGTGCACACCACAGGAATCTATTGTGATTTATGTTTTCCTTTTACTGTGCAACTGTCATTAGTAAACTCATAATTTCAAAATTGTTTCCAGCAGTTCATTAAAATTCCCACATACTAGCCCTCAAATCTAATTGTTAAAAAGAGAGTTGATATTAAAGATGACTGAGTACACTACTGACAAACCATTAGATAAAAACACTGCTCATAGTTGTTTCCTCAATGACATTAGAATAAAAATAAATCTACTTAATTCAGTAGAGTTTAGATAGTATGCAGCTATGTAAACAGAATGATCAGATATAAATGCAAACACTATACGAAGTTGTAGAAAAGTGCATGAAAGTGTACAAAAATGTGGACAGTTTTTTAAAGGCAACCCAGAGCAGTGACATCCTCAGAACCTGCTGAAATTCCACTGCTGTGAAAGTCCATAGATACTTTTGATAAATTTCACTTTTGTGAATGCCACAGAGATCTAAATCTGCTCTTTTTTCGTGCTCATGAATGCGTTACTTCACAAGCAGTTCTTCTATTTTCCTATTTCCCTTGAGAAATTCTTTCTCAGAGTGTCTCATTCCTCCTATATTCATCTGTCTCCTTCTAACTATCTCATCATCTTGTATTTGCCACCCAGCTGCTCAAATTTTGGAAATCCTACCAACTTCATAATCTATCATTTTATTTTTTTTAATATATATATTCATTATATATATTCATGTATATATCAATTTATCTTTTTCTTAGGATGTCTTGTCTTCCTCTTGCTTTTCTTTCTATACATTTGCACTCATTTGCTCTTCTGTGTCTTTTGGGCTGCTTGGATTAATATCTACTGAAAATGGTATGTTCTGTTAAGTCTTCTACCTTCTGGCTACCTTGCTTTGCCCTCTAAAGACTATGGATATTCATCTCTGCTGATGGTGGTCTGTGACTTTCCTACCAGTGTTTCAGAAAGTATGACCAGTTTCTGTAGGCTAGAACTGCATATTTGAGGAAATCATGCAGAGAGTAACTTTAGCAGATAGCCCAAGCAATTTTTGAAAGCTGGAAACTGCTGGCATTAAAGAACAAAATCAGAAAATATGATAAGGATAATAGACAAATCAATCATAATAGTCATTGAAAATTCTATTAATCAAAAATATTTTTTCTATGCTAAACATAAATCCCTATTAGTCCTTTGTACCTAGCTGAGAGACAATCTGAGTTTACTGCAAGATTTCAGTGAAAATACCAGAATTCTAGAGTAACAGGAAGAATGAGAGACTAGAGAACCCTATTTGTCTTAAGTTCAGAGTATTTGTTGTTTGCTGGAAGAATTATTTCATGGATCATTTATTTGAATATTAGCCTTTTTACAAGGTTTTATTTCCTAGATATTCATGCTTGCTTCAGAGATAGGCTGTATTCAGGATGATAGCTCTGAAAGAAGTGCAGGAAGGAATATTAGTTTTTGTCCATGGTCTTCTGCCTTTTATAAGGAAGAATAAATCATGTGAGAGAAAAAAAAAAAAAAAAAAAAAAAAAAAAAAAAAAAAAAAAAAAAAAAAAAAAAAAAAAAAAAAAAAAAAAAAAAAAAAGGTGACTTTATGTGAGCCCCAGTATTAGAGCAAACTGTTTTGTGATGGTTGTTTGAACACAACTAAGAACCAGTTTTCCACATTAAATGAAACTGTCTTTCTTTTCCTAGACTTTACCACAGTGATTTAATAATATGATACTTTGATAAGTAGAAATGTTCTGAAGCACACAGAAATAATATCAGTAGTGACAGCATTCTTTTCAGTACATAAAACCACTTTGGATATTAATTCTTTTTCTGGGGTAAAAAACCATAATTTGCAAAATATGTAAAATGATCTTTGCTAGGCAAATTAAAAATTATCTGCTTACAAGAAAGCTTGAAATTGTAGTGGAATAATCCTACATATAGGACTTTACAAGCTGAAAAGGGATTAATCTTTACAATTTAATTCCAAAGAAACTGAGTAAAATTCTTCTTAGGATATAGGAAATGGATTTTAGAGATTCACAAGGAATTTTTTGGGATAGTTTTCTTGCTTGCTTCTGTTTTTTTTCCCCAAGAAATTCTGACAATCGAAACAGTTGCCTGATCCAACTATCTCACTTAAAACACACTTCATAAATATTGTAAATATCTTCCCCTGATGCGAAACAAATCCGAATAAAAGATGGAATTGATACTAAAACACACCCAATCTCGTTTTGGTATTTGAATTTTATCAGTTCTTATAACTGTGTTACTGTGTGGCTGAGGAGTCCCCCTTCCATGAGCCTGTTAACTATGACAAGGTGGCTTACTTTGTCTGGTGAAATCTGATCTACCTGAAGTGCCAGAATTCCAAGAGAGAGAGCACAGGTTAAAATCCTGTTATGGCATAGGTCTTTAATTACTTGCAAAGAGCAGAGCCTTCTAACTACAGCAGAGGGACAGAAAATGAGTTGGATGTATTGCTTCTTGATTACTGTGCTCTGAGCTGAGTTTTGAGCAGATTGTTCTTCCAGAGCCTTGCTAACAAAAGCCGATTTATTTTCCACTACCCCACATAAATCTGTATCTTTTACAGAACACAGAGAAGCTCCCTAATGACACAGAGCCAGGATCACCACCAGCTGATAGAATGGTAAGAGAGGTCTGTCACCAGAGACTGACCCGGTCTTTTATTGTATTATAGAGGCAAAGTTATACTTTGACTGACTCAGAGAATATAAGATAGAGTTTCTAGATAGCTATTAATGTTGATATCTATATTGATATAGAATTAGAATTTTATAAAAAACCTATAGACCCTCCTTTTTCCTGTCTCATGCAGAGGTTGAACAATCAAATCCCTAAAACACAGATTTTATGCAAAGTAGCACAAAACCACACACATTTCACAGACCCTAAACAGAGTAAATGTGAAAGCATCTTCACTTGTGCGGATGGAGCTCAAGCTGTTGAAAATCAGCCAACTAAAGAGAGCTAGATTCTCTCAAAAATTTTATCCTATAATTTACTTATTTTCCTGCTCAAATGAGATGAGGGAATTTTGAAAGCAATAGAACCCCAAAATGTGTAATACTGTTGACAAACTGCCAGGCACCACACTCAAGTAATTATCCCTGTATCCATCGTTACTCACTGCAGTGGGCAATGACATAATCTATCAACTTGAAAAATAAACACCAAGGAGAGTTCAAAATAGCCTTAGAGAAGCTTTAAGAAAGCTGCCAGTTGGTATTTCATACCAGCTTGCTCATTTAATATGCTAGAACACCACCTACAAAGTCCATGGTCATTTATATTAATTGACTCATTTCCATGGCATCTTTCTGAAAGCAATCATGTGATTCAGGGCAGTGATTAAATCAAGTGGCAGGCACAAACAGATATTCATAATCAACAGAAAATAAATGGTCCTGATGTTATGTTCTGAGGTCTTGCAGATTGCAGAGGAAGCTGGCATGGAAATACCCTTGATAACTGAACTCTGGCAATTTGCAGAAATTACTAAAATGTCAATGATTACTCCAGTCATTCAGATTTTGGAGTATAAGTGACTGTTCGTACTTGCCCTCCAGTTCCATGACTGCAGTATGAATGCCTTAAGTAAGCACAGATCTGGATCTGTGACCTCAAAGCAACCCACATCTTTCAGAAGTTTAGCAGCTTTATTCTGCATTAAAAGAAATCTCTGGTGGTATTCTAAGGTAGTTCTAATGGGAATGTAATCCAGACATCAGTTTAATATTTAAAACATAAAGTGACAGTTGTAAAGTCATCAATTAAGAGGGTTAGCTTCATTTTTCAATTGTAAATGACATCATCTAAAAATCTTAGATACTATAATATTGACTTTGTATCATTTACATGCCTGGCATAGAATAAAAATAGATGTTTCAAGATTTGAATTGGTGAGTCCATGAGCAATGCTAGCTCTAACACAACCCTGAGACTGTAAGAAATTAAACACAATCTCTGTCTATATACTCTCCAGAAAAAGCCAGTTTTTCTTTGGGATTTTGTTTTTCCTCTTCCTCTAATACTAGAAACCTATTTCTGTAGTACGTACAAAGCAACAGCTTCATTGATTTGCTTGTAGTGCTGTAACAAGCTGCTCTCAGTGTGATAGTACCAGTTATCTAACAAAAAATCTTCTTGCACTTATTTGAATACATATATCAACAGGGTTGATGGGGGGAGAGGGGGGCAGAAAATAGTTTCTTTACTATTAAGATAAAAAATGATTTTGTCTCCAAAACCAAAGAAACAGAAAAAAAGCATTTGACTAAGTGTAATGTAACAAATTTGATCCTGAAAAATTTGTCCTGAGTGAAGACCAAGCACAGCATGCAGTTCATGTAGCTTGAATGACAAATTTATAGATATTGGAAATGAAAGAACAGGTTAAGAAAATGAATAATGGTAAAAAAGATTTTTTGAGTTTGTTTTCCTCTGGACAATAGAAAATTATTTGCACTGGATAAATTTTAAGGGCAAAAGTCTGCTCTTTAGAATCAAATATGAACCTCAAGAACAAAAGAAGTGTCTGATAATGCACATAAGACTTAACAGATGCTGAGAAAATGCAACAATCAAAGGTTTATTGATACCTTAGATTTTCCTACAATCATAGAACAGTTTGGGTTGGAAGGGACCTTTAAGGGCCATCTAGTCCAAACTCCCCTGCAATGAGCAGGGACATCTTCAACCAGATCAGGGTGCTCAGAATCCTGTCCAATGTTATTTTGAATGTTTCCAGGGATGGCGCGTCTCCCACCCAGTGACAGTGTTTCACCACCCTCATTGTAAAAAACTTCTTCCTTATATTTAGTCTTAATCTTCCCTCTTTCAGTTTAATGTCATTCATTTTTTACCCTTTTAAGTTTTAGTCAGATGCAGTGGAATAGATCCAATGCCTTGAAATAGTGAAATACAATACCTAATGAAAGTAGGATGAACGTTGTTGCAAGGAGCTGGTATCTTGAAGCAAATGTTTATGAGACTGAGATTTTTCTTTTTAATCATACTTGTAATTAATTGCATCAGTAGCCACAAGAATCCCACTTTCTCTAAAAAAATGTGAAGCAGCAGCTCAACAGAGAAACTGCTCTCCGAGACAAGTCGAATTCCTCAGGAAAACTTGGCTGAGACGTGATTATATACAGTGCTCCCAGGCTAGCTGGTTGTTTTTTGTTCTATTTAGTTCATTCCTCAGTGACTCAGGATATTGTTGCTGTTGCTTGAAACTATAAGTTCCATCATATTGACCAACAATTTATTAGAAGAACTTTTAAGTATGGCTCTTGCTACTAAGCAGTTTTCTTTAACAAAAGCAGGTGATTTTACTTGTCAGACAGGACTCCTCCAGACCTGTAAACACAGATTTTCAATCCACCCTGTATCATCCCTGTTTATTCACACTATTTCCATACATTTTTGCATGGAAATGTGATTATCTTTTTTATTGCTGTTGTTGGGTGTAGCAGGAGTACAACAGTAGCAATATTTTTGTCCATTTCGCTTGAGGCTATAAAAAGAAAAATATATATGTAAAATGGTATAAAAATATGCACATATGTATGTTACAGGTGTGAGAATTCAATCTCAAGGCCTACATGTGCAGAGAGTGGGATGTTATCTTCCCTCTTTTTTTGTTAAATTTCTAAAACCAATGATCTGAGTTCATCCCACCTTCTCTTAGTTACTTAATGGAGACAATCAAATTAGAAACCTAGTTACTCTTATGGAATAAGAGTTATAGACATCTTGACAGAATGATTCATATCTTACACAAGCTGACTCATTTTTTGGAAATTAATATCTTTTTGCACTAATGATAGAGGGAGCCTAAGGTGAACAGACTCCCAACTTAGGCGGCCCAAAAACAGATGAGTGAAGTTCACCTAATTTATCTCTAGTTGTCTAAGACAGTCTCTGTCAAAATTACCTCATACTTGTGTCACAAAATTGAGAGCATTTTTAAATACAGGAATGGTTTTAACATAATTTAAACAAAAACAAGAACAAGGTATTTCCAGTTTGGAAAACACTTTTTAGCTTGAAAATTCCTGACTCTTTTAGTGATTAAAAGGCTTTCTTATCTTTTTTTAAACTTGGACAAGAAAAAGCACAGTGCTTTAGTTGTGGAAGTTCTATCATTGCCTCCAGCGTACAGCCAGTCAATCAAAAGTCTCTAAGCTGTCAGAGTAATGAAGCAAAATGAGAAGAAAGAGCTGAAAAGGGGGACAGCATCAGGGGATGGAGTGCTTTCTCATTTGGAATTGCAGAGTTGAGAGTAAGGTTTAAATACTTGAAAAGCAGGAAAAGAGGAACAGATCCTTGATGAGATGTTTATATGTATATGAAAAGACTAAAGGACAGAATTATAGGAAAGGGAACTTTTCTGAAAAGTTCTACAGTACATGTAGTTGACTAGCTCTGGTTAATGGCAGGGCTGTAACTCCAACTCTAACATCACAGTTTTTCTTGTTCAACTTTCCAGAGAAAGACCAGTTGACCACTAGAAATGTCAGGAAGACTCAAGGCCATTTTTAAGTTTTAAAATTATGTCGTGACCTTTGCATGCAGGAACACACACACAAGCAAAGCAACAAATTTTTTATGGATAGGAACCAAGGAACAGAGATACGCTATCCAAGTTTTTCGACCTATGCAGTCCTAACTGGAACTCCATTTGCCAATGATTTGTGAGAAGAGATATTGCGATGCTAGCTTAATGGCATGGTTGCTTTTAGACACAGGTAAATATAAAGAATTTAGGCAAGGACCTCCAGTTATTTGAATTTGCATTCAAAAACACATTTTAAACTCATTTTTGGAGCATGGTAAGAAATCCAAAACCACTTTTGCTTACATTTGTCCATAATGATCTGTAGGAGATAAGTTTTCACACAGAAGTACAAGTTCTAACACCAAATTGGCAAAACACTAACTTTCAAAGATGTAATTTCATATCTTGAGATGTTTTCATGTGTAGTTTTTGTAGAAAGGTCCTGAAAGAGAAAAAAAGACTTAAATAAAAGTGCTTGCAGGAGAAGGAGTTGAAAATACATGCTTCTATTCCTTACTGTTTTACTCTAAAGGAAAAGTGAAAAATCAAAAACAAACAAAACACAGCAAACTTGAGATTCAACTTACTTTTTTCCACAAGCTTAAAGGAAACACTCTTTTAATCTGTGTAGCAGTGTTTCCTCCCTCAAATATATGTATAAGATTATTTGGTTTCTACGGACTGACTGGGTTTTAACACTATTTTGTACTTTCTCTTAAAGGTTTTACTCACAAACTTGATTGTGAGTAGATTGTTTACAGGATTCCCTCCTGTAAACAAACTACCGTAGTCTCAGACTTTACATTCCCACGTCTTGATATGTAAATGGTGTGGGCTATGCAGAGCAGAAATTTGTCTTCATGTCTTTAATCTAGTATTTTAGAAAAGGATTTGAACACAATTAAAACCTTTTAACTGGGAACTTTCCAAAACTTTCAAATACTATCATCTTCCTATACTTACATTGGTCCCCATCAACAGCATGTGGCATAAATTGATAAGAGTTAATTCTAGGGGCATAATATTGTCAGATTTATCAGACATCTTTGATTATGTAAGAAGTTAAAATCTTATTTACTATATTTTTCACAATTCCAAATGTAGGCATCATATTATGGGAAAAGAAGGAATGCTATAAAAGCCAAGAGAACCTCTATAAATAGCATTTATTTATTTATTTATTTGAATCTTTCTCACAGGTGGTTTTTGTTGGTTTTCTTTTTTTTTTTTGCTATATGTTATCATAAATATTATATCCATTTAAAAATATTTGAAGAATAATATTGTATTCATTTAGTTTAATAACAACTGTTCTGAGATCACACCATGTGCAAAGAACATTTAATATATGCCTGAGCATTCAGAACTTCCATTTGCTTGTAAGGATGCAAAGGCAAAAATATTTACTAAATAGCCACAATATTCACTAAATATATCAGAATATAATATTCATTTAGTCAGTAGATTTTTAATGACTGTATGACTTTCTTCCCCTAGGTATGCAAAGACTGACTGAGAATTATAGTTTGGGAACAGAATGCAAGTTTAAAGAAACACCACTGCATTTTATGTGAGTGACTTGAAAAAAAAAAAGAAAGATGTTAAAGATGCATATTGGGATTTAATGTTTTGCTGTTTCCTCTAGGACACGAGACACTACTCAAAACACAAATACTTGTAGAGTAGGATAATGTTAGTCAAGTTTGAAACTATACAGAGAAATATACAATTAATATCCATGCAGGAAAAACATTTGTGTGAGAACAAGCTAAAATTTATAAAGTGTCAAGGTCATGACTTGATGCTCTGTAACTTTAGGCTTCAGTGAAGAAGTTTGGTGCACAGGGAGTGGTAACACTTTTCAAGCTGGGCAGGACTTTTAAGCAGAACTGTTAGACCTGCTCCATAATGTAGGATACCACTGCAGCAGTCTCTAAAGTTGTGATCAAAGAGCAAAGCAATCACTCTCAATGAGAAAACTCGTACCTCCAGGGAAAGTCTATCTCCTGCCCGCTACAGCTGCAGTCAGGAGTTTTCTTCCAGCCTGACTTTCTAATTGGCAGCGCTCAGTATCTTCCTGAGTCAGTCAAACTCCATTCATTCCTCTTAGATCACTTCTTCCCTTGACTACTGAGATCCCTTCTCCCTACTTGATAATCTCCCAGCCAAGCAAACTCAGTCCCTTAGAAAAAGGGCACAATTAACTCATTATGCATAAAGCAGGATAGAACTATCCTTCTCTTCAGTTGCCCCAAATCTTTCTAAAAAAGAACATAGTAGACTGTAAACTGTAAGGAAGCAAATATAAAACATATATGCTCCTACACCAACTTTCTCTAGCCTACATCTGCAGAAAATGGCAAAAGATTAATGTTGTCAGATGTCTCACAATGTTTACATTAGACACCTGCCCTGAATTACTCCTGTAGGAATCCACCCTTTTTGTTGACTGTGGAAAGCTTCTAGACAAAACATCCCCCCAGTAAACACTAGATTTGTGAGTACACAGCTGTACACCTACCAAGCTCTATCTGCCCATGAACTTAAGGTCTTACAGAGCCACTGTGCATTTCTCCAGTAGTGCTATATAGCAACAACCATTATTTACTGCAATAGGTGGGTGGGTCTGTGTTTTAACACCTGGCAGCTCATAAACCAACTGCTTGCGTGTACTAGAAATCAGAAGTTCCTTTTCCCAGCTCTTTCTATTTCCTTTACTGATGGGGGCACTGACAGGATCTAATAATGAAGTGGTTACTTCTGTGGTACAAGTTTTTCTTCTGCTTTGCAACATTTCTTATAATACAAAGCTCCAATTTGCATATTTGCAGATCTTTTCTTTTATCCATTTTGCTGGTACACCTCGCACTTTTGATTTATTATTTTCAATTTTTATATAGCATAAATATTGAACGAACCTATCTTTTCTTCTCTCATTTGGATGTTATTTTGAACCAAAATATTGCCTGCAGTGAACGTTCATTCTTTGAATCACAAAACAAAGTTTATTTCTTCTATCCATTGTCCTGCAGCTTTTTTTCTGCAAAAAGGCTTTCATTTTTTTTTCTTCTTTCTTTTTCAGCTTTGTAAATTAACACTTGTATTGCAGACAGTCTCAGGAAAAGAAACATAAAAAACAGTTATGATTAGACTTTGGGGACCACGAGTTGATAAATGAAATTGCTTCAGTTTGTTTTTAATATTTATGAAGAAGCAATCTGTTTGTTAGAATGCTTACAATGTAGCAAAAATTAACAAAACATTAGAATGGTTTGGAACCTAAATTACTAGCCATAATTACAGTGGGACTTTGCATTCACATGAAAGGACTAGAAGACTGCAAAGAAGCCCATGGGACCTTTTATTCCTTAGCTAAAAGCTGATTATGAACTTATTTGTTATTTCTTTAAGGGATGTGTTATCCCACTGTAGGTGTCTGCAAATGCTTATTAAAGATATGTTAGTTCAAGGTCTAGATTACTGTGCTCACATTCCCTAGTCTCTTGTAGAAAGATCTTATCTTTCTCCTTTACATGGATATTTTATGACAGATTTTTTTTTTTCACAAATATAGCTTCCATTTTTTAAAGCAGTATTCAGATACCATTATAGACGTCCTCAGACAGCAGCAACCAAAAAGAGATTTAAAAAAAACCCAAAACACCAGAGGACCACTTTTTTACATTCAAATAATTATAAATGAGAAAACTACAAAATCATCTTGTCAGTATATGTTTGGATTTCCTTGTGTACATATACATACATTTAACAGCACCCATATACCATTATGATTAAAAGAGTGAAAGTTGTATTTAAGTATACAGTGCACAGTCTAAAATGTATGTCTTCTCCTGTCTTCAGTGGTGTGACAGGAGAAGGAAGGATGAAATGTTGTGGTGGGGGAGAAAAACAAGGTTTAGATGGGCAGGAAGAGGAGCAAGTGAAAAGCAAAAACTTTTCTTGCTTGTGAATGAGGGGGACTCACAAAACCTAAGATGGGAAACAGTAGTTCTGAGACAACAGACAAAAAGAGATTTTTTCAGAGCAAGTATTTTGGTTCCCCAATCCAGTAAATGAAGTTCTTCATATCTACTTCACAGAGGAACATAACCTCCCAGTCCACAAGGCATGGGTGTAAGTTCAGAGAAGCTGCCCCAGGAATCCTTCCAGCCATGCCCGGTATAAATGAAGAATATTAATAAGCCATTCTACTTCCACTCACTCCTGCTGTAGGCCCTTCACCATTCACACACTTATTTAAATCTATCTGTGACCAAGGTATTTTTTGATATATACATCAAACCTGTAGAATATGTGTGTGTGTGGCTATAGTACTTAGCTGGTGAAATATGGAGAAATGAGGCGCTAATGTTAGATTTCTATTAATGGATCCTCCCTTAAAAGAAGTTTAGGCATCTGCATAACTTAGTAAATGTTAATACTGAAAAAAAACGCAAACCACCAACTCTCACAGAAAATTTTATAGTCTTCTTTAGAAATTGCATAAACTATTTAAATTAAATTTAAATTTTAGTATGAAACAGACTGATGATTCTATTCTAAGTTGAAGCCTCAATGTACTCTGAACATTTGATCTGCTATCACTGCATCTATAATGTAGAAAACTATGAGACAGCATGATTAACAACTTTAATTGGCTATAAGCAAAAAGACCATAAAAGAAATATAAATAACATGTTGTAATTAAGCAGTAAGTAATATTAGTCTTTGAAAAAATGCAACATGTTTCTCTAAGCGGTTAGATGACTGAAGGTACAGACTTTCTTTTTTTTCATGTACTTATGTACTGTTCATGATTCGTTTGTTAGGGTTATAGCTCAGCAGCTTTGTATGCTGTTGAAAACAAAGAGAAAAAAAACGGTTTGGAATAACCATGCAATGGACAGAAGCTATGAAGCTAAGTTAGGTTTAAAACTCAGACTCTGAAAACCGTTTTTTATTTTTGTCTCTGATACACATCTTCCACGATATTGTTCATAGACCCCACCAAAAATGTTATTCTTGTTGCAAATCAACCAGCTTGGTGGCATTATGCCAGCTATGATTTTAGATTCTTTCTCTAAATGTCTGTAAAATATGGTTTAGAAACAGAAGTGCAGATAGCATAACAAGGAAGAGATTGATTATCTAACCGAAGATTTGCTATGGCTTGCTACAGTTTGTAGCAGTAGTGATTCTGCACTGTCATTTGAGATTACTTTCCAAGCACTCAGTGGTCACTATAAATATTTCTTACACTCCATTTGTGGTACTTAGTGTTTCAGACTGGGTTCCTCTGTAACAGTAAATTACATGTCACTGGAAATGGGAGTGACTATTACTCAGGAAAAAAAAAATCCACACCAAAAATCAAGTGAACACGAAAAAAACCTCCTTTCATTGGAATACAATATTTAATTGGAATACAAGTCTTCTTACTTTGTTACTATCTCTTCTAGGAAAACTTGGAAAAATGTTTTAGACACAGCGAAAAACTGGAGTGAGCTCTTACTAACATCATAAAGCTGCCTTGTCTATGAAGTCATGCAGGTTTACAAACAATCGAGTGCTGTGGGAATGACAGGGAAGAATAACAAATACTTGAATAATGGAGTGCTTGGATATTAAAATGCCTGAAAAAGGGAAATAACAGTAAAGGGATGAACTGAAAGTAAGGCAATTTTGAGGCAGTGTTTTGAGTTCAGCAATCCTAATACAACTGAGAGCAATTTTTTCTCTTTTCCTCTGTGTCCTTTACACAGTGTGCAAATTCCCATAGACTATGTGTTTGGTATGGAAAGGAATGGCATGAACAATCCTCAGATTAATGAAATTATTTTACAGGATCCTGGATTTTTTCTACAATTATTAAAGGAGGTGTCCTAGTGCTGTTTTTATCACATTCATTTAACTATTATGGCTACTTAGAAGTGGTCATTTTACATTTCATCTTATTTAGACTCTTTCAGGAAACCAAATTCACCACATGATTTGTGTGGTTTTCTGTAGTACTTCTGTCCTTCCTGCACAGACAGAATACTCTGAAAAACTAGGTGCCATTGTTTATCTCCACCTTCCATGGAGACTTAAGCAATATCTTTTATCATAACGCCTATTATTATATTTTCTTCAGCTGTTTATTCTATCATTATACAGTAGAAGCTCTGAGTATCATCAAAGCCTACCAACCTTCATTAGATCATAACAGCACAAAGATGTAGGTTACATTCTCCAGTTATTTTAAGAGTTGCTTGACTTGCTGAAAGTACCTCACTTGTACATCCAGCATGGGATTCGCGTGATCCGATGTAGGCATCTGCAATACAGATGTCTATGCCTGAGCCAGCAGTGTATATTCCCTTTATAGCCAAAGGAGAGAAACAAGCATTTCTAGAATGCATCTCACAGCCTCTTAATGCAAATTCCCAATTAGGTCAGATGAATCACACCTTAAATATTGCTATACGCCTCCATTGTCTGTTAAGCATGTCAGGTCACTGGTTCAGATATATATAAATGATAAGCATTCTTCTCTTTCCAAACCTGCCGAAGCTTGTTTCCCTCATTCTT